CTTCACTGGACTTGACAATCATGTCGTCCATATAGACTTCGAGCATGTCGCCTATCTCGTGGCAAAAAACTTTGTTCATCATGCTCTAATACATAACGCCCACATTTTTCAGGCTGAAGGGCATTACATTGTAGTAATAGTTGCCCGACTTCGTCATGAAATCGGTGTATTTCTTATCCGATTTCGCCATTGGGATTTGGTTATGACTAGAGTATGTATCCATAAATGATAGCAATTTGAAACCGACCGAGTTGTCGACCAGTTTTTCAATATTGGGGAGGGGATAAGCATCTTTCGGGCAAGCCTGATTGAGATCAGTATAATCAATACACATGCGCCATTTTCCATTAGATTTTTTCACAAGAACTACCTTTGAGAGCCAGGTTGTGTACTAGGATTTAGAAATAAAATGTGCCTCTAGGAGGTCTTTTACAGCTAGTTTTGCAGCCTTTCCTTTCTCGGAAGAGTGTTTTCTTCTACGTTGCGCGACCCCTTGAGAGAAGGATCTATAATCAAGTGATGACATGCAACTTCTGGATCTAATCCGGGCATCTCGGCCTCACTCCAGGCGAATAGATTTGCATTCTCCCTTAAGCAGGCTTTGAGTTTCCTTTTTTCCAAGTCGGGGAGGTCTGCTACAATCTTCACTCCTCTGGTGGGATCTTCTCCGAGGGGAACTAGCTCAAAATCGCCATCCGGGATTAGCCGTGCGTGACTCAAGAGTTTGTTGGGATCAGCAGAAGGGGTCGAATCTTCACCTTCGACCATAGGCTCATTTCCCTTCCTTCTTTACTTGATGCGATCTTCCTTAGAGAAGCGGCTGTCTAGGTCAATGGTGTCGACCCGTGGCAATAACTTGACTTCCTCGGAGCTGGAGGGTAGTGTGGCTCCAGTGGTCGTTCGAGGTTGAACGCTGATGGAACCGAGGCCTTTAGTTGAAGCTTTAAAACATCTTCTTACTGCTTGGATGTACCCTTGGAGGGTGGCGACCAAGCCTTCAGCGGTGTAGTACTTCATTTTGAGATGCACGGTAGAGGGAACCGCGATGAGTTCAGTGAGAGTGGGTCTCCCAAAGATGCACTGGTAGAGAGATGGGTAATCTACTACCAGGAATTGGGTCTTGATGGCTCTGGCCGTTACCCCTCTCCTGAAGATAACGATCAGCTCGACATATCCCTAGGGTTTGGTGTTGGCTCCATTAAAGCCCTGGAGATCTGATCCCACGTACAGGGTCAGATGCCTTTCATTCAGCTGCAAAGTGGTGAACAGTTGGGCGTACATGATGTCCACCGAGATGCCATGATCGACTAATATACGTCGCACGTGAAAATTCACCATGCAAGTTATCACGAGTAGTGGAATGGTCGAATTCGGGGCCCTGCCCGGTAGTTCCTTATTGTAGATGGAGAGGGGATGGGAGTCTCCCCAGAATTTGTTGAGCGTGGCATCCATATCCGAGGTGGCTTCGATGAGCTGGTTGAATCTTCTATTCACCGAACCAACCGCGTGCCTGTTGAATCCCACGCCTAAGATAACCATGGTTACATGGAAAGATTCCCAAGGACTGTAGGAGGAAAAGTACAGAGGGATATTCTCTATGTCTGGATACTAGAAATCTTCCAGTCGTGAGATGCTCATGGAAACCAGAATGGCGTCGATATCGGGGGACTTCTTCCCTTCCTTGATGTTTTTAGTTTTTGGTGCTTCTTCGCAAGGGCCCTCCTTCTTTTTGTATTGATTGAGGTGCCTGTCTCTAATTAGTATTTCAATTACATCCTTGAGATGAATGTAATCCTCAATGTTATTCCCGTGACTTTTGTGGAACCTGCAATATTTGCTCTTGTCATTTCCCAGTTTAGACGGTGTTTGTCGGGGGAAGTGCACCTTGGCCTGCTTAAACTCAGAATTGACGCAGTAAGAAAGAATACACTCCCTTGATGTAGTCAAACGGGTGTAGTTGTGGAAACAACTGATTGTCCCCTTCTAGTCCCTAGAATTCCTAGACTCGTCCTCCCATTTCTTTTCTCTGCGACGGGATGTCGAGGGCTCGTCATTCCTCGAGGACTTGGAACTCTCTCTGTGCCTTGATTTTCTGGCGCTGTTGACCGCTTCCTTCTCCTCGTACTGGAATTACGCATGGGCCTTGAGGAGGAGGGAGTCGAGTATGGCCGGCGTCTCAACGGCCACAACTTTGGCAAAGTCATTTCGGGGATAGATCCCGCGCTTGAGGAGGTATTTCTTCATGGTGTCGGTCATTGAAACCTGGACTTCTTCCTTATTGAAGCGTTCAATGTATGCCCACAGAGGCTCGTCTCTGCCCTAGATGATTGCTTCGAGCGAAGCCTCCGATTTCGGGTGTCGACGAGAGGCGGTGAAGTGCCTTGAAAATTTCCTCCCGAGCTGCTTCCAGGATGTGATGGATTTTTCCGAGAGACTCTTGTACCAAAACATCTCCCCCTTCTTGATAGTGGTCAGGAACAATCTGCATTTGATGGGCCCTTTGACTCCTCGCTAGTCGAGGAGAGCGTCAATGTTCTCAATGTGCTCGTCAGGGTCTGTTGATCGGACGTAGGTTCCCAATGGAGGTGGATTCTCCAGGACAATAGGGAGTATGGATTCTGTAATTTCCCTTGATAACAGGCCACGGGGCTCGTTGTCTTCACTATTCGCAGGGGATGGATAAGAGGAGTGATAGTGTCTGCCCCATCGATTGTCGCGGCCTGGTCGGGGGGAGGGACTCCTCTGCTTCTGTCTTGGCTCGGGAGAAGGAAATTGAGCACGATCAATTTGATGTTCGTATTTCCTCTTCTTGGATGAAGGGGAGTCTTGTTCTTTCGCAAGAGGTGTGTTGTTGTGTTTCTTGAAGAAAGAAACATCGCGCCTCTCCCTTCTTGGTAGAAGGCCACACTTAGATGGTGATATACTGGGGGAGTTTCATCGTCTGGTTCTCCGAGGAGGAGATCTTGGCCACCTATTCTCCCAGAACCCTATCCTTTGATTATGTTGTAGGATGAGGGCGTTAGTCTGATTGATAGCAGCGAGTAATGCTCCCATGGCATGGTCGGTGTTGAGAGGGATAGGAACTGGTTACATGATTTCTGGAAGTTCTTCGGTGGGATTCTTGGGGCGTCCCTAGTCCAAGAATTGGTCGTCGTCGTGTCGGGCGTCTGTTGAATCTAGAGACACAATCTGTCTGTCTCGAAAACCCAGGTTGTCCTCAAGGTGAGGATGTTTCTGAATTCCATCAATTTTGTGAACAGGGAAAAGAATAACCTTTTCGGGAAGATGGAGATCATCATGGTCGACCATGATTAGTGAAAGGAATCTTTAAAAGTTGCTTTGATCTTTGAATTTCGAGGAAAGAAAGATGGGGAAAGCAGTTTCCCACAGACGGGGCCATTGATCTTACCGGTTGATCAAAACCTGTAAAGTGGCTAGAAGATGATCTTTAGTCGGGTTGTGATGTCGAGGAGGAAAAAAGGGGTTGTACCTGCAAGGCACTCTGATAATCAAGTAAGATTGGGAACAAGGAGATACAAGAAAAGTATTAAGGTGTTGGTGGTGAATAGTGAATATTCGATACTTGGCCCTCACATGCGTGAGGGTTTATATAATGCCCCTGGCGCATGGCCATTGAATCCTAATTTTATGCCTGGATATGCGGGTCCGTAAAATCAGGTAACTGCCAGGACTTAGTCAAACTGGGCATATGTGCCCGTAACTAGCCGTTGATTCCGAGAAGGGGGCCAATTACAGGCATCTATCTTGTCGGTTCATGGTGGCCTGCACGACTTTGATTTTGGGTAGGCTGAGAGATGCTCATTGAACATCCTAGGCCAGTACTGGCTTGGGAGGGAAAAAGGGTCTATATTGCCTGACGGAGAGCGGGCGGTTCAGGTTATGGACGTGTAGGCCATACCAAAAGAAAGAGTTAGACTAGGCCCATTCAAGTTGTCAGGCCAGTCTAGAATAGTTTGTATAGGATTGGAGTTTCCAACCGCAAGATACAGACCTGTGTTATTACGGTATCCTTGGTATTGATGTTTAGTACCTATGGATCTAACAATAGCCTAGAAGCCACATATGATTAGAGTTTTTATGGTGTATATGTTTCAAACTTGTGTCTTAATTGTTACCGCATTGGTTTGTTGCTTGAGGACAAGCAACAGTCTAAGTATGGGGAGTTTGATAACGTGAAAATGCATTGTATTTTCTAACTTGATTCATATGCTAATTAGTTTCATTTCTTGCCTTTATAGTATTTTTATGTTGCTTTATATGTGTATTTTAGGTAGTATGATATCCATGAAGAAATGTGCGTCGAAATCCGAAAAGAACAAGAAAGAACAGAAAAAATGCATATATATTGTTTTCTGGTGTGTGGCGGATGCCACCAGCAGCATGGCGCTTTCCATGGCTGCCTGCCACGTCAATTAATGAAGTGGAGCTCATTGAGGATGCCATGAGGCCTATGGCAGTCTCCATGTACCAAACATGCAGAGAAACGTGGAAACAGAACAAGAATCATTATGCACCACTTCCCTACATTCTCTCAACTATTTTATGCACGTTCATAACCCTTTAAATTATTATTTTTTCAAAACCAACCTTGCCATTTCAAAAAAATATCAATTTAGTCCCTAAAGTCAAAATCCGTAGGTAAATCCCAAAAAAATTCGTAGGAAACCTACAGATTTACCTGCGAATTTTGACTTTATGGACTAAATTGTTAGGTTTTTAAAATGGCAAGATTACTTTTACAACAAAAAAAATTACAGGGAGTAAACCAAAAATGATCTATATGGCAGGAGACAAAAGTGGTAATAACCCTTGAATTATTTATCTAAGCGTTAATCTCAGATACCTTAATTGCGAAGTAGAGAATCATACATTTAACTTTTTTTTAGCTATCACAAAACTTCATAAGACAATAATAATAAAAAGTATAATAATGAAGTCATGAAATTTTCTATTCAAAATTATGTTGCTAATTCATTTATCTAATGAGTACTATGTTGACGCACTTGAGCACCCCAAGTCATATATCCTCTATCCTTCTTGCCATAACTCTTTTTTCCCAACTCCGCCAGTTGAGATTCCCACTGACGTTTCCATTCATTCTTTTCTTCACTTACCTGATATTGAAAATCATATACTTAAAGTTAATTAAAATGTATTAATTATGAGAGTGATGACATTAGCGAATGCTAGTAGAAAATGCAAATGAAATCCCTTTAGCCAAATCTCTATCATAAATAGCTCTCATTACTGGATTTGACAACATCTCATAAGCCTCTCACACCATAATGAACCTCTATGTGTACTCTTTGACCTGATCTGGTGGATACAAATCTGGGTGACATTTTCGGGCCTTCTACTTATAAGCGCGCTTCAATTCCACTATGGATACGGATTCAGATATACCCAAAACTTCATACAAAGTTAATTCAGATTTAGATGAAACAAAGTTATTGTTGTTGTTGTTAATTGAAGCTTTTATTTTGAGCAATGAACTAGAACCATAGTTTTGGATCTGGAGTTTTACGGAGTTGGGTCTAATTCTAGGATATGTAAAGGAATTTGGTGTTACATTTGGTTGGATTGTTATTCTGTAACAGTAATTCATATTTTTTTTCTTTGTGAGTTCATTTGGAAATGTGGAATCTGATTGGATTTATAGGTCCTACTTTTATCTAGAATGTTAAAGCTTCTACAAAATAAGAAATTTAAAAAACTACGAAACCACCTACCAATTACCTTTTGAAACTGTCAATTGTATGTTGCAAACAGTTTTTACACGTATACTAACTCTCTTTATCTTTTAATCTCTTTCACCAAATTTATCATTGTTTTAATTATATAATATTTATTAATATTTAAATTAATTTTAAACTTTCATCTTTATCTTCTATTTATTTAGAATAAACATATTTTGAGTAAAATTATTTATCTAATTAGTTACTTATGGTGTTGGGTTTCCTCCTCTTTCTTCTTTATTGTTCATTTTTTAAATTATTTTTTATTAAAATTAAATCTAAATTCTTATTTTCTTTATCTTTAACTCATTCTAGAATACAAAAACCATGTCATAGAAAAATTATTTTCCTAACCAATTTGCGACTTCCTTCTTCTAATATTATCTATTATTTTAATTATCATTTATATTAATAATAAAATTAATAATAAACTTTCATCTTCTTTACTTTTTCTAATTTTTATGTTGCTTTATATGTGTATTTCAGGTAATACGGTATCCATGAAAAAATATGCGTCAGAATCAGAAAAGAGCAAGAAAGAGCAGGAAACAAATGTAGAAATATTGTTTTCTGGTGTGTGGCGGACGCCACCAGCAGAATGGCACTTGCCATTGTTGTCTGCCACTTCATAACAAGACTCATTCTGCACCACTTCCCTACATTTTCACAACTATTTTATGCATGTTCAAAACCTTTTCTCTAGGTTGTAACACTATATATAGGTCCATTTTATTTGTTTTTAGTTATCAAGGATTATATGCGAAGCTCTACCGATTTGAAAAGTTAGTCTTTGATCATTTGTAAGAATTGAATCGTAATTTTGCTGTCATTAGTGAAAGCATTCCAGTTTCTTTATTCCCACCTTTGCAAGTTCATATTTATTACTTTCTAATTATTGTTATTGTTGTTTTAGTTACCATGTCGTTTTTCATTGCAACCGTTATATTTAACGTGTCTTTAAATAGTAGTATGTTCAGCTAAATAGTTTTGAGTCCAGTATGCGAGGATCTTTGTTTTCGACAGAACTCAGTAACAAAGTTGGCTTAAACATTATTTAAATTCTATTTTGGTCTTTATTTCGTAAAATTAATTCAAATGGTTTGTCACGAGAGTGAAAAATTAATTAAGGTTTGAGTCGACATTGCGAGAGCGTAGAGGTCGAACCAGATAGTAGGAAAGGGCATCAACCCTAAAGAGGGCGAGAGTGCTTTAGGTGTCGACTAGGACTTGTTCAACTTTCAAAACATGTTCCTTAATTGAAATGGGCGAGCGAGAGCAAAATCCCATGGTTAGGGAACATGGCTTTATTCAATAACGCGAGAGTGTGAGGGTTAGTCTTTAAACTGACATTTTCTACTAAATATGTTTTTAACACAGGTATAAGCTAACAAGTTACATGGTCCTTGAGGTACACGAAATACACATTTCGTTATCTCTCTTCGTCATCATATTTTCTAAATCTGTTTAGTTCTAGTTTTAATTATGTTTAACCATAGGTATCATTCTCTTTAGCTTTACATAGTAACAATTGATATCATTAGTTTGATTATTGGTCCCTGTGGGTTCAATATATTTTAAAACTATACGGTAGATTATGCACTTGCAGTTAGTTAATCTGATATACTCTTAAAGTCGCGATCAAGTTTTTGGCGCCGTAGTCGGGGATTAATTTAGTCAATATTGTGATTCCATCGTTGCGCAGTATAGACTAAGGCAACTAATTTTCTTTTTAATTTGTCGATTTCATTCCAAACACACTCTCTCAAGGCGAGGAATTAGAGAAACCAATTGACAAAGTCGAGTGTTTTATTAACTCAAGACGTTGAATACATGAATATTGTGATACAGTGGCAGAACCGACTGTTTAATACTGGTTTTGCATTTTTGTTCACAAATGTTGCAGTAAGCAAGAGTCACAACCGACTTTTCTTTTATCCAAATTAAGGAAAGGGTGAAAAGAACAGAAAAAGACCTTTTCGAGATTATTTTGAGTAGGGGGGGGGGTAGATTATGGAAAGGGAAGGTGTTAGCACCCTTTCCATCCGTAGTTATCTACGGGATCTTAGAGGTTTGCTCACTTTGAAATACTTTTGTGCTTTGTGTGTTTGAAAATGTTTTGAGAATGCCTTAGTGCAGCGATTTGCTTTGCGTTTAACTCTTGTATCAGTCCTCAAATATGTCAACAAAGCAAATGTTTTGAAAATTGTTTTTGAAAAGTAGTATTTGTGTAAGTGCAAAAATGTTTTTGAGCAAACTTCTAACAGCTATCTACTTTTATACTCGAAAAGGGTCGTTCTTTCCCCCCTATCCTTTAGATAGCGTTATCCTACTATTAGTGAGTAGGTATCCCTATCGTTGGATGTATGAGGGACATTCGAAAGGGACGTTATAGTCACGAAGGCAACTTGTGGAGACACTTTAGGAATTTTGTTTAGGGGACTAGATCATTTACCGAGAAGGACACTGTAGGGTCATTGAGGGACTATGATCTCTTGATTTATGGGTCTTTGCTAAAGCTTTCCTGCCTTCTGACTGTTTTTATTTCTGAAGGTAACCAAAGTGAGGTACTCTAGAGGTGTATATGTGCAAGTGTGTTATGTTCAGTTATTTAAAATCTTTTTGTTAAGTTTTCTAACGTTTGATTTCAATCTTTTCATACACGCCTAGTTACTAGCAGTTAATATATATTGTAGAATATTAAAGTGCATGAATTTAAATCTACGCTATTACAATGCTTTGGGGAGGGGATTTACATTATACAAGAATGAGGGGGATAAAGCAGTAAATGTCCTAGTTTTAATCTAGTGCCTCCAGTGAGCAGGTACATTAATAATAAAAATGCGAAATTAAATAAATACGCGTGAAATTGAAAATAACATCTAAAAATATCCTAAGAAATAAAAATCTTTTTGTTTTGTTTTTTTATGTATAAAGAAAACAAAGCCTAAATCTTTTTTATTTTAATTTTAAGAAAGATGTTAAAAATAATTAATTAATTTATTTATAGAATTAATTTAATTAGAAAAGACACCAACCTAATGTTTTTTTTAGTGATTTTGATTTAAGATTAATTTAAATAAAAAGGATGAATAAGGAAATATAAAAAAGAACAAAAATAAAATATGAAGGAGTAAGGGGATCCTTTGATCCAGAGGAAGGTGGCTTTCGACCCAGAGGAAAAAGGGTAGCCTTCGATCCAAGGAAGGATGTTTGTCCTTCGACCCAGGGAGAGATTATTGTCTTTCGATCCAGGGGTGGATGCTGTGAGGACACTGAATTTGCAAAGGTATGTTAGCCAATACGAAAAGCATGACATGGGTGCCAAGCCCAGGTCCTTCGATTCTGTACGCACTGGTCTTATTTACGAAAAGCATGACATGGGTGCCAAGCCCAGGTCCTTCAGTTGTCCAAGGCTCTGCTGAAGAGTTATCACTGGAGAGATGACAATTTGCTGTATTCTGGTAGAAGTCCAAGTTTCCTGTGATTTGACGGGGGTAATGGAATTATCTGTTACCTGAAAATGTATTAGAAAGAGCCTGTGTAGGGCTGCTTTAAGATGAGCCTGTGTTAGACTGTATGAGAAGAAACCCGTGTAAGATTGTTTCATCAGGTCATGTAGATAGCTTTCCTGTCTGGTTTTATGTGTTAATCTGTAATCAGTTATTCGCAGATAGTTGTCCTGTCTGGTTTCAGGTATTAATCTTCAACCTTCTTATGTAGATAGTTTTCCTGGCTTGTTACAGGTATTAATCTTACAGTCGGTCGTCCATAGATGGTTCTCCTGGCTTTTTATAGGTGTTAATCTGGAACTTGAAAATTGTCGGTTGTTGAGATAGTTATCCTAGCTTGTTACGGGTTTTAATCTCTTACCTGAGAAAGAAAGATAGTTTTCCCATCTTGTTTCGGGTGTTAATCTTCAATCTCTTCATGTAGATAGTTCTCCTGGCTTGTTACAGGTATTAATCCACAGCCGGTCGTCCACAGATAGTTCTCCTGTCTTGTTACAAGTATTAATCTGGAACTTGTTTTGCTGGTTACATAGATAGTTTCCCCATCTGGTTTCAGGAATTAATCTGTGGCCTGCTGTATTTGTTGGTAAACCCGTCTTGTTTCGGGAGTTCATACCACTTGGTCGTGCAGATAGTTTCCCCGTCTAGTTTTGGGCATTAATCTTTGACCTGTTGTAAAAGTTGACATCATTTTTCTGTTTTCTAATTTAACCTGAAAAGGTAAAATCAATTTCATGCGATGTCATAATGTATGAATTGTATGATGCTCCCCAAAAAATGAGATTGTGATATATGTATTTGTATGCCCATGCCATGATGTATGAACATGTAATGTTTTTGCGCAATATCTTTGTCTGGGAAATAAATCCCTGATTGCTGTTGGTGAGTGAAGAAAGTGATTCTTCAATTTTCATTAGGGATAGTGAATGGAGATAGTTTTGTTGGCGATTCCCTTTCTCTATCGAGGATCTTCGACTTCTGTTTGAGAATGATTTTGCCGAGGGGAAGAGTTCTGTTGGAAGATTTCACCAATTTGGAGAAATAAACTCCGTCGGGGGATGAACTTCCATAGCTAGAGAAATAAACTCTAATGGGGATAAGGATTTATAAACTACTTGAGATTTATAAAACTCTATTACAGAATACTTTAATTTCAGCTCTCTGAGGAAACTTTGTTGGAGAGAGGGATTTTCCAATGATTTATGGTAGAAACACCCTCAAGTTGCAAAGTGTCAGAATAAATCCCTGCCTTGATTGTACCCGAAGATGTATCGAATGGGTATCAGAATAATATCCATATTTGGAGCGTATCTGAACTGTATTTGGAAGAGAAATCTAGAATGAGTATCAGAATGACATCC